TGTGTCAAAGATACCAATTCATCAGGAATTTTCCCCGCCAGCTCGTTGGAAGAGAGATCCAACCATTCCAGATTTGTCAAATTCCTTAGTGACGGTGGAATATGACCAATAAGGTTGTTATGAGAAAGATTAAGCCCTTTGAGAGAACTAAGCTTTCCCATAACATCTGGAATTTCTCCCTCAAACTTGTTATTTGAGAGATGAATACTACTGAATATGGTCAAGATTCCCTGCAGCTCATAGTCGAATCCCTTCAATGTCACAACCAGTGAATATTGATAAGAATTGTCTCCCGTCGACACCTTCATGTATTCAGGGGAACCACCGTCTCTATGAGGGTCCATCATCGCATTAAAATTTTCAATGTACCGAACAGGCAAAGCACCAACAAAATCATTGCTGGAGAGGTCCAGAACTCGTAACTTGGGAAAAGATGGACTTTCTTTGGTGCTCTGCACGGAACCATGGAACTTGTTGGACCTTAAGACAAGCACTTGAAGGTGTGGTAGAGATTCCAACCAATAAGGGAATGTATCACTTATGTTGTTGTTGCCAACGTCTAGAACCTCTAACATGCGACAATTCACCAAAGACCTTGGTAATAGCCCGTCCATTTGATTGCCATGTAAGTTGAGATTTAGTAATCCACAGCCCTCTGGAAACCCAAATGGTATATTTCCATCAAAGTAATTGGCCTGCAAATTCAACAGTGAGAGAGACTTAGGAAGACAATTTGGAATCTTCCCGATTAAGTTGTTATGAGAAAGGTCAAGAATTTCGAGATTTACTAAATTAGCAATTGAGTTAGGAATTGAGCCCTGGAGTTTATTGTTTGACAAATCTAGGTTTGTGAGTGAGTTTTGCTGGAATTGACTTATTTGACCTTGAAATTGGTTATGATCGAGATGCAAGGCCTCTAACAAAGGTAGGGTGAAAATCCAAGGTGGCAACATGCCGGAAAACTGATTATCAGAAAGGTAAAGAAAGGTAAGTTGTGTGAGGTTTGCAAGTGATGGTGGGATTTGTCCGCTAAGATTGTTATAATAGAGGTGTAGACTAGTAAGTTGCCTTAAGTTACCTATGGAAGCTGGAATGGGACTAGAAAACTGATTATGGGCAAGGGAAAGATAGGTAAGTTGGGTGAGGTTTCCAAGTGATGGTGGGATTTGTCCGCTAAGACTGTTAAAATAGAGGGATAGTTCAGTAAGTTGCCTTAAGTTACCTATGGAAGCTGGAATGGGACTAGAAAACTGATTATAGGAAAGGTAAAGATGGGTAAGTTGGGTGAGGTTTCCAAGTGATGGTGGGATTTGTCCGCTAAGATTGCAAGAAGAAAGGGCTAGGAAAGTAAGTTGCCTTAAGTTACCTATGGAAGCTGGAATGGGACCAGAAAATTGATTATAGGAAAGGTCAAGAGAGGTAAGTTGGGTGAGGTTTGCAAGTGATGGTGGGATTTGTCCGCTAAGATTGTTAGAAAAGATGCTTAGGTAAGTAAGTTGAGATAAGTTCCCTATGGAAGCTGGAATGGAACCTTCCAAGTTGCAGCCAAGATACAGAAACTGTAATGACTTCAGATCTCCTATAGACTCTCGCAATCGCCTTCCGCAATCCATATCACCTAAAAACAATCGTTGGAGAGGACTGCTCCAATTGGAACTTGGAAGATCAATAGTGAGGTTTCGCTCTCCAAAAGATCCACTTAAATAAAAATTTTTGAGATTTGGAAAGCGGAAAATACTGTTTGGAAAGTTTCCTCTTAACGCACTCTCCCAAAGAACAAGAGTAGTCAATGAAGAAGAGAGATTCATGAAGAAACGAGGATTAACAGATGTCATGTTCACTCCACGAAGCACAAGTTCTCTCACCTCACTCAAGTTGTGAACAAGATCTCTGAAGGTAGTTGTTTCAAGGATCAATTCAGGAGAATCATCATAGAAGTAACTAGAGAGATTGAGAGAAACTAACTTGGGGAGGTGAGCAATTTCTCTCGGAACTTGGCCCGAAAATTGAGAAGAAGAGACATCAAGATGCTTTAGTCTAGTAAACTGACTGATTTCTGGTGGAATCTTGGAAAGCCTAAAATCATTCAAGGCAAGATTGAGGCTCTGCAGGTTTCTGAGGGAGAAAAGAGTGCTGTTGGAAGGAAAGGTGCCATAAAGGAAACTGCAGCTGAGATTAACGGCAATTACATGGCCTGTGACATTATCACAGCTAACCCCATCCCAGGAACAACAGTCTATACCTTCCTTCCATGACTCAATCTTAGAATAATTAGGTTTAGTATAAAACCTATCCACACAATAATCTGGATAATCTGGATGCGGAACAGTGTAATTGATGGAGAAGGATGTCTTGAATTGCAGCAAAGCAAGAGCCTCCTCATGAGAACAGAGATGCGTTGTTGAGAAGGAAGAAGCATGTATAGAGGATGAGATGGCAGTTTTAAGACAGAGGAAGACAAGAAGGAGGCAGAGTGAGAGTGGTGCAGAGAGCTTTGTGAAGATCCTCATATCTTTGTTTGGCTCAATAGACTACTCAAGAAGAGTATATATAGAGTGTCTAAATTTGAGGGATGCTAATAATTGAATATATTCCATTAAAACAAAAACAAATGAATATAGAAAGTAATATTGATGCAGCGGTGGATATCATTTTTCAAATTATTTTTTTATTTCTTTTTTATTTATTATTTTAAAAGTAAATGAAGTAATTAAGGATTATAACCACATTATTAATAAGTCTTCAAATAATAATTTAAATTTCAATAAAAAATTATTATCTTTGTTATTTTGTGATATAAAAAAAATATTTTTTTCACTTTAAAATTAGAATTACACAACAACCACAAACTTTCCAGGGTAAAAGTTACTGAAACGGATTTAAATCTTAAATAAAAAATTATTATCTTTGTTATTTTGTGATATAAAAAAAATATTTTTTTCACTTTAAAATTAGAATTAATAATTTAAAAAAAATATTTATTTACATTTCTTAATATATATGCATATATATAACAAATATTAGTAGATAAATATTAACATTAAAAAATTATTTAATGTAATTTATAATAGTAGATGGTAGAATCATTTGCAGATCAATTAACCAAAAAATTTCTAGTTCTCCACAATCTATCCCGGGGAATTTGGCAAAATCAGCACTCTCGATAGAAGCCAAGGGGCAAAAGTCTCGCAACAAAATCGTTTTGCTGTAATTGAGGAGTTGATGGATGAGGAAGCCGAATTGATCGGAGCAAATTCCCAAAGACAGTTTTAAGACAGAGGAAGAAAAATTGGAGGTAAAGTGGTGTCAAGAGCATAGTGAAACCAAACGAAGTGGTGCCAACTTCAACTCAATCAAACAACCTGGTCGGATCTGGGTTTGGTGACCGAACTCAGCCGGACGAAGAGAAAGAAAGAGAAAGAAAGAAAGGAAGAAGATGAATCGAGAAGGTGAGGGTGATAAATTCATTTTGTTTATTTTTATTTTTTAAAATTATAAATAATCATATGATGTGATATTTTTATTTATTTATATAATATAATTATAAAATATATTATTACCACATCTTCAAAAGATTTACAAAAAAAATGCCACGTCTTCCACTCTTGCACTACATTGTGACATATACATACATCATATTTATTACATGTTAATTTCTACGTGCACTTGACAAATGTGGTCAAGAAAATGTAACTAAGAAAACTTGCAAGCAGTTGCAAGGAAGTGATGGACGAAAAGGATTGAAAAAGTCCAATTATTTTTGATTTTTTTATAAAAAGTTCAACATCGATTTACATATATCATATTTATTGCATATTAATTTTCACATGTACTTTACGTATTTGGTCAAAAATACGTAACTAAGGAAACTTATAAGTAGTTGTAGGGAAGTGATGGACGAAAAGGATTGAAAAATTATAGTTATTTTTTACTTCCTTATAAAAGTTTCAACATCAATTTTGCTACTTGTTAGAACAAATAATTTTCCACCAAATGTATTTCTCTTTCTCCAAACTTTGGTTTCTGCCACTTGCCTATTGGGAAATATATGGTAAGTTGACTTATTTTATTCTTGATCTTCAATTTCTATTGAACTTTAGAAGAAAGTTTATTAAAATGGAATAGTATTTATCCATTTTATTTGTTTTATTTTTTAAAGATTAAAAAAAATTATCTCAAAATTATATCGTTTTAATAAATTCTCATTAAAAATGATTAAAATACTTTATTTTTAAAGCATAAATTAAAGTATTTTTTATTTCAGTTGCAAAGATTTTTTTTTCATAAAAATGTAATCGAGAAATTGACAAAGCCTAAAAAGAGTAAGAAAAAAACTTTAGGTAATCTCTTTTATAGTTTAATTTTTATTGTGATGTCCTCTACAATTATAGATAATTATTTGACAACATTATTACCAAATGGATAAAATATATTTTTTTGATTAATAAAAAATTGGAGTGAAAAACTAAGATTAATTATAACTTTTAAAAATAAATCAAGAACCATACATGATTGGATTATCATGTTAAAATGCTAGAAGTATTATAGCATATAAAATGTAAATTCTAACATCACATATGAGATAGAAACAAAAAATCATATTAGTCCCTTAAATACCTACCCTCCTAAACCATTGAACCAAAAGATTTTGGATAACATAATTTTAAAATATTCTTGAAAGTTTTTAGTAATCATCTTTATGAAGATGAAATCTCTTTGAGAACAATCTAATTTTTCAAAGTAAGCATGATATTACAAACTACCATATCCTTCACCCAGCCGTACTTCATATGCCTGAGGGAAAAAATTAATTATAAATATTAAAAGAGGGCGCAAGAAGATTAAAATAGCCAAATGCGAAAAAGTTAAAATATTAGTTATGCTCATCATGCCTGCTCACTCACAGTGAATATTAGTTGTGCTCACCATGCCTAGGCTACCGAAAAAAACTTGTCCTCCAAAAATACTTGCAAATTCTTTAATTTCAAAAACCAACAGCTTCTCCATCAAATTTGAGAAGAAATGCCAACATGATCAACTCAGAAAGTGAATTTATGAGATCTTTCTCCCAAAGAACTCCCTTGGCTATTTCTTCTAAGAAATATGAAGCATATTAAAGAACCTTTTGATTGGTAGTTTTGTCAATCTTCACAATGTGAAGCTTTGTTCTTTCCCTGTCCCAACGTATCATTTGGCTAAACAGCATTTGTAGAAATTTTAGCAAAACTTTAAATATGTTTAGGGAGCCTACGGAAATTGAAAGAAAGAGAAGGAGGCAAAAACACATTAATATATAATGAATGCAAAAAAAAAAAAAAAAAAAAAAAACCAACAACAACGACAACAACAGGCAACTTGTTGTAAAATTCGAATACAATGATAAAAAAATATTCATTAACACTTGACAAACAACAATGGGAAGTCATGTTGAGAAATGCCAAACATAGAAGCAATATTTATGTTTCTATTTATTTCAATCTCTCAAAAATATTATAACTCATATGACTGTAGACAATAAAAAGCAAGGAAAAAGAACCATGTGAATATCTTTTCTCTAGAAAGCAAAAAATATGAAGATCAACGTTCAAATGTTATTGAAGCAAAATAAACTTCAAACTTCAAAGGTCTATTAGACCTTTTAGAGGCGGAACTACATTGATTTTACATTTGTAACATGAGTAAAGAAACAAAAAAACTGCATAACTGTATAGAAAAAATAAAAAATGGTAGGTTTTCTCTACACAACTTCAAGTAATATTTAGTTATTTATTCTTTTCTTATGGATAAGGAGTTATTCACTTCAGTAATAATATTGGAAATTATGCCAAAAAATTCTTAGAAGATTACTAAGCCATGAAATTAGATGCAAAATTGATGTAATAAATCATATACATTAAGTAGGATTAAGGATTCATATCACAAAAAGTACACTAATGTGCCCAACCACCACATAATCTCTTAAATTTATAAGGTAACATATAAAGCTAAACGCAAAACTAATTTTTGAAGTCATAGTGAGGATGCAATTGAATTGATTGTGATGAGTTTACCTATTCGACTTGGGTGTAAGGAATTTTTTTCATAAAAGTGTAATTGAGGAACCATAAGCAATTGTAAAAAAATTAGGAAAGAGATTCCTATCCACCTATTACATGATGATATTTCCATACTATTTTTCTATTTTAAAATTTCTACAACTATCTTATTCATGGATTATTATTTTGTTTAGAAATTCTACCACTCTTGCATTATATATTAGCATATACATACATCATATCTATTGCATGTCAATTTCCACATGTACTTGACAAATGTGGTCAAGAAAATGTAACTAAAGAAACTTGTAAGCAGTTACAGGGAAGTGATTGACAAAGAGGATTGAAAATCTTTATAAAAGGTGCAACATCGATTTACACACATCATGTGTTTTGCTTGTCATTTTCCACATGTACTTGACAAATGTGGTAAAAAAAACATAACTAAGGAAACTTGTAAGCAGTTGTAGGGAAGTAATGGGCAAAGAGGATTGAAAAACTCGAGTTATTTTTGACTTCTTTATAAAAGGTGCAACATCAATTTACACACATCATGTTTTTAGCATGTCATTTTCCACATGTACTTGACAAAAGTGGTCAAAAAAATGTAACTAAAGAAATTTGTAAGCAATTGCGGGGAAGTGATGTACGGAAAGGACTAAAAAACTGAAGTTATTTTGTAAAAATGTTTAAACTTCAATAGTACACAATAACAGAAACATGAATTATTATTATCAGTTGCTAAGTTTCATTTAGCAAACTTAGCCACCAAATGAAGCATCTCATAGGATGAACAATATCAAAGCAGATTCCTATATGAACAAATGCATGCTCTCATAGTAGCATTCATTTCAAAAAGTTACATGTGAAAGAGACCGCATGATTGTTAGCTGCATGCATTTTTTTTCCTAGTTTTTTTTACTTAAATCCATTTCAGACTTTGCGTACCTATTAATTTTTTATATTTTTATCTTTCTAAAATGAATTGAAATGATTAATAAAAATAGTCAGGCATGCATTTTATGTGTCAAAAAATGAAAATATTATAAATAAATTTTTTTAAATAAATTAAGATTTAAATCTATATAATCATTATTATTTTAAATTGAATCCAATTATAAATCATAAATAAAGTAATAACTAGATTTTCATCTTAATTTTTCATCAATCAAGTGAAAACACATATTCATTGATGAGGGTACGTTCGGTGAACTTCAATTACGTTATGTTAAAGATGCCTTTGGATTCACACATTGAGCCATCTTATCTGACT